CTACTGTGAATCTTTGGTCCTCTTCAATTAGAGCATGAACAAGATTACTTTTTTTCTTGCAAACTGATGTGGGTGAACCAGAGGGCTCCTCCACCCACTGGTTCACTCCCCAGATGCTGCAATGGCCAGGGCTGACCCAGACTGAAGCCAGGATGCAGGAGCTTTATCTGGGTCCCCCACATGTGTTCAGGGGCCCACACACTTGGGCTATCTTCTGCTGCTTTGCCCAGGCCATGAGAAGGGAGCTGGATGGGAAGTAGAGCAGCTGGGACATGGACTGGTACCCATATGGGAAGCTGGCATTGCAGGTAGCAGCCTAACCTGGTATGGCATAATGCTAGCTCCACATGCTTCATCTTCAGCATCATCTCACTTCTTCTTGAAATGAATTATTCATTTCTAAAGCTCTCATTTCATTGGGATACTCTCTACGTAAAGTTTCTCTAAAGTATCAAAGATTTTACCATTTTTCCACCCAAGCTTCACATCAATTTGATGTTTGTTGTTGCTTCAATTTTCATAGAATTTGTGTTACTTTTGAGGGATTGTTCTCAAACTAATATTTTATCTCTTTGATATCTCAAATTAGACCCTTTCCAGGCATGTTAGAAGTTAGTACAAGTTTATATTGGTGCAAAAACTTTTTGAAATCTATGAATAATTTTTTATGTTGTACATTCCTATCACCTTCTTGAACATCTCTCATATGTTTGTTTTGCAATGAAATAAGTTATTTTCCACAAGCATTTTAAAGTACTCTCATATATGTATATTTGGAGAGTATGTGTGTGTAATGTTTTCTTTTTTCATATATCTACTGATGGAAGCTTAGATAGTTTTCATACCTTCAGAGTTACACAGACAGAGGAGAGGCAGAGAGAGAGAGAGAGATCTTCCATCCGTTGGTTCACTCCCCAGTTGGCCACAATGGCCAGAGCTGTGCCAATCCGAAGCCAGGAGCCAGGAGCTTCTTCCAGGGCTTCCACATGGTTGCAAAGGCTCAAGGACCTGGGCCATCTTCTACTGCTTTCCCAGGCCATAGCAGAGAGCTGGATTGGAAGTGGATCTGCTGGGACTTTAACCAGTGCCCTATGGGATGCCGGCATTGCAGGCAGTGGCTTTACCCACTACTTCACAGTGCCGGCCCCGAGAGAGAAATCTTCCATCTGCTAGTATACTCCCCAAATGACTGCAAAGGCTGGAGTTGGACCAGGCTGAAGCCAGGATCCAGGAGTTTCATCCGGGTTCCCTACATGGTTGGCCAGGTCGCAAGATCCTATGCTGTTGTCTGATGCTTTCCCAGGTACACTAGCAGGGAGCTGGTCCAGAAGCAGAGAAGCTGGGACTTGAAATCCCATATGGGATGCTGATAGTTTAGGCAGTGGCCCAACCCACTATACGACAACATTGGCCTCTCCTTTGTCTTTTTGGCAATAGTTGTTCTGATAGATGAGAAGTGATAACTCATAGTGGTTTTGATTTGCATTTCCCTGATGATTAGTGATGCTGGGTATTTTACCACTTGTTAGACATATACCCTGTGTCTTATTTTGAGAAATATGTATTCTTATCCTTTGCTCAATTTAAAAATTGGATTATTTGAATTTTTTTGCAATTGAATAATTCTTTCTATATTTTGGATGTTGACTTTCTCAGATATGCGGTTTGCAGATATTTTCTCCCATTCCATAGGTTGTCTTTTTACTCTGTTTATTGTTTTCTTATGCTGTGCAGAAGTTTTAGTTTGATGCAATTCCATTTGTCTTTTTTTTTTCTTATGTTGTCTGGGCTTTTGGTGTTATATCCAAAATATTATTTTCTAGGTCAATGTCAAGAAGCTTTTTCCTTATTTTCTTCTGGTAATTTTATAGTTTCAGGTCTTGTATTAAAAGATTGTTTTTGTGTGTGTTCTTCAAGTTTTTCTTTAAATTTATTTGAAAGGGAGGGAGGGAAGGAGATATAAAGAGAGAGAGAGAGAGAGAGAAGAAGAGAGAGAGGGAGGGAGGGAGGGAGAGAGTGGGAGAGGCAGAGAGAGAAAGGCCAAGGCTGGGCCAAGTCAAGTTAAGACCTTAGAACTCTTAGAACTCAGTTCCTGTCTTCTGTATGGTTGGCAGGGACCCAACTACTTGGGGCTTTACCTTCTGCCTCCTAGGTGCACATTAACAGGAAGCTGGCCTGGAGATCAGAGCCAGGACTCTAACTCAGGCGTTCTAATATGAAATGCAGGTAGATATACCAAGTTGTGGCCTAATCCGTTTCCCAAATGCCCACCCTACATTTGATATTTAATTCATTTTGAGTTGATTTCTTATATGGTGTGAGGTAAGGGTTCAGTTCTGTTCTGTATATGAGTATTGAGTTTTCCAAACACTATTTATTGAAGAGACCTTCCTTTCTTCATTTTGTGGGTACTCTTGGCATCTTTTTCAAAGATCAGATGACTGTAAGTGTGTAGGTCTATTTCTGGACTTTCTATTCTGTTCCACTGGTTTATATGTCTTTTTATGCTGGTCCCTTCTGTTTTGATTACTGTGGTTTTGTAATGTGTTTTGAATTGAGGAAGTGTACACCTTCAGTTTCATTCTTTTTGTTCAAGATTTCTTTGATTATTTAGGATCTCCTGTGGTTTCATGTGAATTTTAGGATTATTTTTCTATTCTTTAGAGAATGTCATTGGGATTTTGATAGAAGATATTGTATTTGTAAATCACCATTTAATATTAAAAATTTAACAGTATTCTTTCAATCTATGGTCATGGATGTATTTCAGATAATCTGTGTAATCTTTAATTTTGTTTATTAATGTCATAATTTTTCATGTGCAAATCTTTCACTTTCTTGGTTAAATTTATTCCAACGTGTCTTATTTTTTTCCCTGTTGTAAGTGAGATTGTTTTCTTGTTTCTTTTCAATTAGTTTGTTATATGTATAGAGAAATACCACTTTTTAAATGTTGATTTTATATCCTGCAACTTTACTGAATTTATTATTTCTCATAGTTTCTTTTTCAATCTTTAGGATTTTCTACATATATGATCCTATCATCCACAAACAGATAATTTTACTTCTTCATTTCAATGCCTTTTCTTTTTCTTGTCTAATTGCTCTCTTTTGCCAGACTTTTGTTTGCCACAGCTGGTATTGCTGCCTTAGGCATCTGCAGTGTTAAACAATTGAAGCTGACAAAAGCTGTGGGGATAGGATTTTCCCTCTGAGTAGACATTGGGTCAGTTCTGATAAAGAGAAATTCTGAGAGTGGGGCATTTCCAGATACCCGCCAAGTCAAATAGTGACATTTCTCTGGGATAAGGCCTTTTGGAGGATCTTCAGACCTATTTTGCCTCCTCCAGTGGCTTGTTAGAGTTCTTTCATAGTTACCATGGCTGCAAGGATCCTGGTTTTCATGATGCTGTGGAGAGAGTGATGGAAGTAGGATGAATTTAAAAGTCACAAAGTTCACTGTTCATACTATGACATAACCATTTTTTTCAAATAGATCTTCCTTGTAATGTTGTACATCTGTTAATTTCCAGAGTTATGAAAAAGTTGATTTTGACAGTTTTTACCAGCATTCTGGCTTTTCTGAAAGTCCTTAGTCATTCTAGAAGTGTTTTCTCAACCTATTGAATTTTAAAATTGCTTGCCACTCTTAATGATGTTATAATTAATTTTTTTCAGTTTTCTTTTTTTAAGAAAAGATTTTAATACATATTTTTTATTAGCACCAATTTCATCTTTGTCATCCTTGTTTTTTTCACCCCTCCTATGGGTATATACTTTTTTTTACCCCAAGTCTGTGTGAAAATTAAGAAAAAGTTGATTGTGGTAAAAATACATGCTTTAATCATTTGTATCTTCTGCAACCAAATAATATAAACTGGGTGGCCAAAACAACAAATACTTATTTTTCATAGTTCTGGGGGCTGCAAGTCCAAGGTTATGATGCCAGCAAAGGTTGGCTTCTTGGTGAGAGCCTTCTTCCTGGTTCATAGACAATTGTTTTCTTGCTATGTCCTCACATGCTGGTAAAGGAGCTGGCTAGCTCTCTGGCCTCTTCGTGTAAGGGTGCTAATCTTATTCATCAGGATGGAGCCTCATGACCTAGTTTCCTCCAAATATCATCACATTGGGTTTAGGATTTCAATGTATGAATTTTAGGGAGACACAAACATTCAGTCAATTTTAATACACCAAATTTTCCTTCTTGTTTACTTTTAAGTATATAATTCAGTAATGTTAGGTACATTCATTGTTGTTCAGCCAATCTCTAAAACCTTTTTCATCTAATGGAACTGAAATTGCACCCATTAAGTAAAACTCTCAATTTATCTCTTTCCCTAGTTCTTGAAAATCGCCATTCTACTTTCTTTCTCTATAAATTTGACTATTCTAGGTAGTTTATATGAGTGGAATTGTGCAGTGTTTGTCCTTTTGTGACTGGCTTATTTTATTTAGAATAGTATCCTCAAGGTTTATCCATGTTGTAGCATGTGTCAGTTTCCTAAGATCGAATGTTACTTTATTTATATTTGTATTTATATTTATAATATAAATATTATATTTTTATGCAAAATCTTGTTTGTTTTTTCTTTTATGTATACTTGGGTTGCTTTCATATTTTAGCTATTATGCATAGCAGCTATCTCTTTTGAGACACTGTTTTCAAGTCTTTTGGGTATATAGTTTCTTTTTTTCCTTTTTTGGTGTGGAGGTATCTACAGAGATATCCAACTTCATGATTTTTAAAGTGGGATAGTAAACTTAATGATTTTTCTCAAATTTTTCTATTTAATAAATTTCCTTATAGAAAGTAGTTGTTGTTTTTTCGTTGTTCCAGACATTAGAGATTAATTCACTGCTCTCTTTTTTTTTTAACTTTTATTTAATGAATATAAATTTCCAAAGTACAGCTTATGGATTACAATGGCTCCCCCCCCCCATAATTTCCCTCCCACCCGCAACCCTCCCCCCCCCGCTCCCTCTCCCTTTCCATTCACATCAAGATTCATTTTCAATTCTCTTTATATACAGAAGATCAGTTTAGCATACATTAAGTAAAGATTTCAACAGTTTGCACCCACATAGAAGCACGAAGTGAAAAATACTGTTTGAGTACTAGTTATAGCATTAAATCTCAATGTACAGCACACTAAGGACAGAGATCCTACATGAGGAGTAAGTGACTCCTGTTGTTGACTTAACAATTTGACACTCTTGTTTATAGCATCAGTAATCACCCTAGGCTCTTGTCAGGAGTTGCCAAGGCTATGGAAGCTTTTGAGTTCGCGGACATTGATCTTATTTAGACAAGGTTGTAGTCAGAGTGGAAGTTCTCTCCTCCTTTCAGAGAAAGGTACCTCCTTCTTTGATGACCTGTTCTTTCCACTGGGATCTCACTCGTGGAGATCTTTCATTTAGGTATTTTTTTTTTTTCCCCAGAGTGTCTTGGCTTTCCATGCCTGAAATACTCTCTTGTTTTTAAGGTTTATTAAAAGTAAAACATTTAAATGACATGAAGCTATGTCAGGGATTAGTGAATGAGTAAATTACAAAATTAAGTGTAATCTGACTGATGATTCCTAGGTGAATCTTTCAATTACTTGTTTTATTATTTTTCTAAATAAAAATAAGAGCACAGGGAAAAGGATTATTGTTATTTTGAATAAGCAACTAACCCAGCATTTCATCATGAGTTTCATTGATGTTCCAGCATGTGAATGGAAATCAAGTCAGTGCTGTTGAATTTCTTTTAATATAAGAATGAAATTAATCTAGAAACAGATTTTATAAGGTATCCTACTACTGACATATTTATTGTACATGGTAAATCTGTATGTTTTGCTAAAGAACATAATTAGTTCCAGGATTTCTTTGTGAAAGTGACCCATATCGTTTTTTGATAATTAATCCTACTCTAACAACTGGATACGGAAATATCTTATTACTGCATTTCCCATCCACTTTTATTAGTTAAATGGGTACTATAGGTGTGTGATATGCTAAGCCCTTCAGTTTGTCTCAGGTGACAGATTAGCCTGCCAGTCCCCTGGTATACAAAGGGTCACTAGTTTATGACCCCTTTTAATTAGCACTTTCTGGGACCGACATTTCGGCATAGTGTATAAAGCCGCCATCTGCTATACCCACATCCTATATGGCTGCTGGTTTGAGTTGTGGCTGCTCCACTTCTGATCCAGCTCTCTGCTAATAGACCTGGGAGAGCACAGGAAGATGGCCTAAGTGTTTGGATCCCTGTATCCACATGGGAGACCTGGAAAAAGCTCCTGGCTCCTGGCTTCTGTTTGGCCCAGCCCTGGCTGTGGCGGCCATTTGGGGAGTGACCCAGTGAATGGAAGACTTCTCTCTCTCACTGCCCCTGCCTCTGCCTCTCCCTGCCTCTGCCTCTCCCTCTCTGCCTTTCAAATAAATAAATAAATAAATCTTTAAAAAATTTAGCAGTTTCTACTGTCTTGTTATGAAGCATTCAACAGCTAACTAGTGCCTCATATTTATATACATGTAACGTTAGCATCCCACTTCTGGTACTGGTTTCTGTGATTGTTTGGGTATGACCTAAGCTTCTGTAATAGACACTGCACCAAAACACTGTGGCCCAGTGAAGATAGAAGCTTATTTTTGTCTTATGTTCTGTTTCTGTTTAAGGCAAACAGGTGGTTCAGGAAGGACAGATTCTTTGAGTGATGCTCATTTCTTTTATTTGATCGCTCTTGGATCTTCTGTTGTGCTGTCATCCTCTGCATGGTTGAAGTTGCCTCAGTTCCAGATGTTTGTGTTCCAGCCTGTGGGAAGCACATGACACAGAAATCACACGTGACAATTCCACTCGTGGTCCATTGGTTAGAGCTTTATCTTGACCACTTCTAAACTCAATAGGAGATTGGTAGATATAGTCTCTCAGTGGACAACCATGGACCATGGGAGCAGCTAAAACTGCTACTAGGAAAAAAGGAAAAATGAGATTTTGGGCAACACCTGGTAATCTGCCACAGTTGCTTAACTTCTCTGAATCTTGGTTTCTTAATTGCTAAAATGTGAGAATAATTGCATCTACTTCAGTGTGTTGTCTTGAGGGTTAGGAAAGGTAATACTGTTTACAGTTTCTGATACATAACATATATCAAATGTTAACTCAGGAGATAATTTTTTTCTAATGATAAGAGTAACTATATCTTTATTTTTTCATTTTAGTGTTAAAGAATTCATAATCAGTGTTTATTTGACTTCAGGAAAATTATACTATTTAAAGCAATAAAACTTAAACACATAGAAACTATAGATACTAGAGACCCTTAACACCTAGAGTGGCTTTTTTGGTTTGCTTTAAACTATTTTTAAATAGTATTATTAATGGTATTACCTTTCACACTGTTTCTTAGAATGGTTTTATGCAGATAAAATATAAGTAGGTTTTGAGGTAAGTAGTCCATTAGAGTAAATTTAATTTCACTTTCAAAAATCTTAGTTTTTTTCTTTTAAAATGGGTCATCGCTAGAAGCAGTTCATTTATTTGGCAAGATATTCTTAGCATATGATTTGCTGCACAAGAGAAAATTGTAAAATGCCTCTGTAATGTGTGAAGTTATTTTCTGGCCTTTGGCTCAGGGAAGTAAATAGAAAGCCTCTAACTAAAAGATGAAAAATGATCAAATAACACACAAGTAGAGAGAATTTACGTTTTAAATGATCTGGGTTGAATTGTCATTGATAAAGAAACATTTAACTTCATGACAAAGCTTTCTTTAATTTTTTATAGACAATTATTTTTGAACAAATTATTTTGTGTTTTGGTTTTGTTACACATTAATATCAACCTATCAGTTGTTAAGGATCATTCATTTCATATTTTGAAAGCAGTTCTTGGTAGACTAAGTTCTTTGTCAAGAATGATGAAAAATGACTATGTAGATATCAAGGCTTTTCATTAGCTTTGTGAAATTATATGTTTATATTTTAAAATCAGAGTATAAATCCATTGGAAATGTGTTTAAAGATGAGGAAGCTGACCTTTAAATCTCTGTTCATTAACCCCCTGCTTTCTTTAATGAGGATATAAAAAATAAAGCAAAATGAAGAACATGTTAAATTTAAAATCTTTTTTAAATTTAGCATCTTGAAAGCATGTTCATTTGTTGCATAAGAATCCTTCTTTGGTTTGCTATTTTTTGGGCAAAATGCTGAGAGAATATGGGTACCATCTGCTTTGTCATCAACAATTTTAGATTAAATCTGCCAAATTTAGATTGAGTTCTCACTGATTTAACCTGCAGCTTTTGGTACTTGTTTTCTTGATTTCTGGAACAGCTTCTGGCTTATTTTGTGGCTGAGCTGAAGATGCTCTTTAAGTTTAATGAAACAGGGACTGGGCTACTGCAGCCACCAGCCTTGTGATCAGTTATGTTGGATTTCATTGTGAACATAGTGGACATCACTGGACTAAACAGAGTTTTGAAAATTACCCAATGCTTTCTCTGTTTAATTAGCACATTATTATCTAGGCTCTGTTTATGTCTGTGAAGAAGGAGTTGGAATGCTTATCTCAAAAAAAAAAAAAAAAAAAAACCACAAAAACAGAAATTACCACTCAGCTTTCATTATGTTGTTTACTAGGCTATACTGCTCATTAAACTTTTACTTGATACTCTATTTTAAAAATTTTTATTACTGTCTATATAAGTATGAAATACTTAATGATTCACTTAGAGATAATTATATTTACTATCAAACCTCAAGTATAAGTTAATATTGCAAAGATCTATAGTAGGAGGCCTGAAGTTGAAGAACATATGGAAAAATTAAGAGAGAATAAGGAAAAATATTAATGAATCCTTAAAGTTTTTTCTTTCTCCAGCTTTTTAAAAAATATTTATTTATTTATTTATTTTAAAGAGTTAGAGAGAGGATGGAGAGAGAGATCTTCCACCTGCTGGTCTGCTCCCCAAATGGCTGTATCCACCCGAGCTGGTCTGATCTGAAGCCAGGTGCCAGCAGCTTTTTGTAGGTCTCCCGTGTGGGTGCAGGGGCCCAAGCACGTGGGCCATCTGCTTTCTCAGGCCATTAGCAGGGAGCTGGATTGGAAGTGGAGAAGCCGAAACTCAAATGGGTGCCCATTTGGGATGCAGGCAATGCAGGCTACGGCATTACCTGCTATACCATGGCACCAGCCTCTATCTAGTCTTTAATTTTGAAAAATTGCTAAATGTTGGAATAAAAGGAAAACATATATAATCGTAATACTTTTCATCTAGATCAATTGTTAATATTCTATAATATGTTATTTTGTATATACATTTTTTCTGAACCTTTTAAAATAATTTGTAGATACTATTAAACATTACCCATAAATACTTGAATACTTCCTAAGAATAAAGACATTTCCTACCACTCCTAAGATTATTATTATTTTATTAATTTGAAAGGTAGAGTGACAAAAAGGGAGGGAGGAAGGGGGACAGAGAGAGACAGGTAGAGATCTTCCATCTGCTGGTTCACCCTGCAAATGTCTGAACAGCCAGGGCAGGGGTAGGCTAAAGTCAGGAGCTTGTAACTTCATCCTGATCTCCTGTATGGGTGTCAGGGACCTGGGTACCTGGGCTATGTTTGGCTGTTTTCCCAGAAGCATTTACAGGGAGCTGTATGGGAAGCAGGGCAGGTAGGATTTGAATTGGTGCTCTGATAAGAGTTACCAGCTTCTCCATGTTGTCCCCCCTGAGATTATTATTGTTGCTGAACTTTAACCTAATTAACCTCAATTCAATAATATCTCATGTATATTTTATTTCGAAGTTATCCCACAACTTTTGTTTATTTTGACTTAGGATGCAATAGCATTTTACACATTGCATTTGACTGTCATGTGTCTTCTTTTTAATCTAGAAAAAGTCCCCTGTATTTTGTTTTGTTTTGTTTTATGATGACTAATTTGGAGAGTTTAGGCCAGTTGAGGCATGTTCTGTATTCTGGCTTTGTCTGCCTGCTTCTCAAGTTTTAGGTTGGGGTAAGCATTTTTGGCAAGAAGACATCTGAGGTGATGGCCACTTACTCCATCTCATTGGGAAGCATGTGATGTCTGAGCAGCCTGGTGTGGGTGATTGTGGAGGGATCACTTGGTTTAGTGGTGACCACTGTAGCATTCCCACATGCAAGTACGTTTGTCCTTTTCTGGTTAGTTTCTGTGGGACAATGCTTGTGATCATGCAGATGCCCTGTAACCCACTCTTTTTTTCCGAGGTACTTTTAGCATGCGTAGATAATTCTTACCTGAATTAATTACATTGGAGATTGTGAAGGGATTATTTTCTAATTCTGTCATTTATTTTTCATTTAATAGATGACATCTGCAAGAACTTTCCTTGCATCCCTCCACTTGCCTTTAATATAGATTAATTGGTTTTTAAACCTGCTATAATTCATTATCAATATTATAGATGCACAGATTGTTTATGTGTAGTTAGTAGGTGCCTTTTAAAGCCAGCTTCTGTGTTCATTACACATGACTCTTGTAGCCTTTGAATGCTTCCTTATTTGGGAAAGAACATTTTTATTTGAATAAAATAAAGTTACAGTATCTTAAAAAATTGTTTTTTGATTGATTTGAGAGAGAGAGAGAGAGAGAGGAAGAAAAATAGGGAAATCAGGAGGGGAAAAATGGGATCAGCCTGAAGCTAGGAGGCAGGAATGCAATCTAGGTCTTTAAGTGGGTGGCAGGACCCTGAATACTTGATCCATCTCTGCTGCCTCCTAGAGTCTGCATTAGCGGAAGTTGGACTCAGGAACCGGAGCTGGGCATTGAACCTAGATACTCTGATATGGGTTGCAGAAGTCTTAACTGGCATCTTAACAGCTAGACTAAATACTCACCTCTATTTTATAAAAGTAAATAAAGGTAGTTTAGGCATTTTACACAATTAATTTCCTCTATCATTTTAATGGGATATTCTCATTTCCTATAGTTTTAGTGATGAGTATATAGCTTTGATATATTGAAGATGATCAGCATTTCTGGGACCAGTTTTGGGTGTGGTTCTTGAAGCTGGTCCTTTTCTGATTTGTGATCCAGAATAAAAGCTCCAGCATACTGCCTCCTGAGACCCTCCGTGATCCCGGAGAGACAAATAACATAGAAGCTTAAGATGGAAACAGATCTTTGGGGCAGTGCTCACGTGCACTTCTTCCTTGTCCTTCCAATTTATCTGCTTGTTGGAAATACATTTTATTGGTGCTCATTTTCAATTACCTACCCCACATTTTAGTTGGAAAAACCTCAGTAGCTTCTCTATATCCACTTCTCCTCCTTTTTATATTTCTGCCTTTCTCTAAGTATTAACCACTGAAGTTGCCATTGAAAACAGTTTAAATAAAAAACTCATACAGGTAAAGTATCATTACATTTTAAGGAGTGAAGTCTTATCAGAAATAGATGCGGTTAAGTATACTGCATTAAATTCCTGTTTTGTAAAGTGCTGATGTAAGTGACTTTCTTCTTTATATCTTTTTATGGTATTTGTAAAAGTTTAGTGCCAGTACATATACTTGTGGTGGTATTTCTAATTTGGTTGGAGGTTGGGAGAGTTTGGAGGTGGGGAAGGGAAGGAACTGAAAGAATCTGACTAGCCTGACATTTATTCCACGGTGTGTTGTGTATGGAAATTCTGTTTAACCACCTGTGAATCTATTCAGCACATTATTTAGACTGCATTTCTCTGTGGGCTCCAAGAATGTTTTAAGAGACTCAATACCTTGCTGAAATCTAGATATGATGTCTAAAGCATTATCATAACTAGCTGTTCTCATATGAGTAATCCTGTCAAAAAGGAAATAAAGTATTTGGCAGAATATATTTTTCTCAAAACCATGCTGGCTTCTGCTGAATGCCTCTTTTTATTGTCCCTCAGTTCTCCTAAACCACTTATTAATCCACTTTAGAGGTACACGGGTGGGACTTCAAGCCCTGTGGTTTTCTGAACTTGCCCTTCCTCCTAACCTTTGCCCATCCCCAGACATCAGCCCTGTTCCTGCAGCTGTGTGTTGGCTGTGCTGCTGAGACAGCAGTCTGATCAAGAAGCCGCTGTTTGCGCCTCTTTCACAGGAAAATTATTCTTGTTGATGGATCAGGAAAATGTCTATAGAGTCCATTTTGAGAAAAGCTGACTTAAACTACTTTTCTGGAAATGCCTGTTGACTATTTGAGTAAAGGAGAAGTCTTGGAATTGAATGGTAAAATATGTATTTTTTTAGATTGAGAAAAAATAGGCTTGCAGTAAGGGGTTTCTTAGAGCTCACTTCCCTAGAGCAAGAATGGGAGTACAGGGACATCAGGATCTCAGTGAAGAGACAAGCACTGGGACCCTTGCAGAGTGTTCTCTGCAGCAGAAGCACCACCAGGGTGCTTCTTAGAAATGCAGACTCCTAGGCCCCACCCCAGCCCCGTTGAGTCAGAATCTGAACCACTGTCTTCAGGTGGTTCACATACAAATCAGCTCTGAGAAGCACTGGGAATCCTTCTCATGAGTGTGTCCCTCTGCAGGTTAACTAGTTGAGAGATGAGATTCCTCACAATTACCAAATAGCATATTTAGGGCTGTCATTTTAGAGTGGAAGCATGTATTGTGACCTGTTGGCTCAGTACAGCTGTTGGATGATGACCTTCTCCACACCGCTCCTTCCAAGATTTAAAGAGAGCTTTCCAAATACCAAAAATAGTATTTTCAGAAAGTTACTTTTGTAGTCATTTTCTACTCATAGGCTAGAGTACTCTTCCTTTTCTCTGCTTTACAGATCCTTTGCATGGTGATACCATGTGGTTAAATTGTTAAAGGTGTGCTTCACCACGGAGGGAAAATTCCAGGAAAGAAGGCTCCAGCTGTGGCTGTGCCTCTGCTGTTTGCCACCTTTTATTCCATGGCACTATAGGGTTGGGGTGGAGCTGCTGATTTTCTGCATAACCCTGTGAGTAGTAATCAGCTGTTAGCACCTGGCATTAGCGCAGCATTAGCTTCAGTAATGCTGATCGAAACTTGATAGAAATCAGGTCTTCCTGACTTTCTAGATTTTTTTTTTTTATCTGGGGAGGGATGTGGAAGGAATTTAGCGGTGGGTGGGTCAGGTGTGACTGATGGGCTGATTTTCTCATGTGCTGTTGAAGAAAATCCTTTAAGCCTATGCCAAACTGCAGGTACAGCTTACTGGCTCTCAGGTGGGAGGGACTATTGGGAACTCTTTTTTTTTTTTTTTTTAAGATTTGTTTATTTATTTGAAAGAGTTAGAGAAAGAGAGACGTCTTCCATCTGCTGGTTTACTCCCTAGATAGTTGCAATTGCCAGGTCTGGGCCAGGTTGAAGCCAGGAGTGTCATCCAGGTCTGTCACATGGATGGCAGGGGCCCAGATACCTGGGCCATCTTCTGCTGCTTTTCCCAGGCCACCAGCAGGGAGCTGTATTGGAAGTGGAGCAGCTGGGACATGAACCATTGCCATATAGAATGCAGCATCATAGGCAGTAGCTTTACCAGTTATTCCACAATGCTGGCCCCAGTGGGACGCTGGTAGGTGCAATGAGCTGGCAGAGGGGCAGCGGTATGGTGTATTGAAAAGGATTTGGAATTAGCTGGATGTAGTTTGAATCCAAACTCTTCTGCTTATTAGTTTTGTGGCCTAGTAGTAGTTATTTAACCACTGATTTTTGAGTTCATAATAGTTAAAATGGGATTAATTTATACCTCCCAGGGATGTTGTTAGGCTAATGTATTAAGAACCCAATGTAGTTCCTGGTGTAGAGAAAATGCCCATTGAGTGGTAAGTACACATTACTACATATCTTTGGTATTTTAAATAATTCCTTACTAGTTTTTTTTTTTTTTTTCCATGTCTGCCCCAGCTAAACTGAAGAAGGACTTACATAGCTTCTGGTAGTTTTGTCTATCAAATATATTTCTGAATAATTTCTTTGCCAGGTAAGTATCATCTTCTGTTAATGGCCACCACAGCAGATACTGGCCTTCAGAGACCTTCAGTCTGGCAGGTTCATCAGCTGGATCATAGCCAGTAGGGATGACACATCCAGAAAGCTGAGAATATTCCATCTAACACAGAGGATAGGTCAACATGTCAGTCAAAGTCAAGAAAAAGAGAGTATGTGTTTGAAACAATAATGGTTTGTGAAAAGAGCTTTGGTGAATTACTCATGTTTGAATGGTTGCAGTATTTGGAATTCTTTTCTATGAAGACAGCTATAAAATGCAAGTTTCAAAGAGGGTGCTGATATAATCCTCTGGAAAGGACACTTTTCTTTATAATTGAGAAATGTGGTGAATTCAATGTCAGTCAGTCCAAATTCAGGATTCTGCTTACACCTGGAAACTAGGAGGTCTGGCACAAAGTCCCTAATTTATCAGTGTTCTAACTGAATACTTGATGATGGTTTTCTCTGATCTCCTCCTGAATCTGAACTCATAGTCCAAGTCTGAGTTCAGAGACTGATTTTACATACAGGTGTAATACCCTGATTTTTTTTAACTTTAAGTGGTTGATGTTTGGAAAATGTTACATAAGTAACTTTAATCAGATTTAAGAAAACATACATGGAACATTTTTTGTTTTGATTAAATTACATTTATTCATCTCTGGGAAAAATGATAGTACCTACTTCATAGGTTAATGTCTGTCTCATAGGATTAACAAGGTAATTTATGTAAAGTGTTTAGTATAGCATTTGACATACCACAAGTACATTTTAGGAAAGAATGAGGTGTTATTAATTTTTAAATTAATTTCTTCCTGATTACAGAACATAAATGTTCATGGTAGAAAATGTAAAATAAGGAAAAGAAATTAAAAATCACCATAAACTCTAACTTACAATGACTTTGTCCCTAATGTTGACAATTTAGTCTACTCAGTCTTGTTTCTTTTTTCCTACATGAAATGTATCTTTTAGATGTGGAAGCCACAATTTTACTGGTTTGAAACCCACTTTCTATACTTATTATATTAGTAATATTTCCTCATGTCTTTGACTAATCTTCCGTCACATGATTTTAATGGCATTTTAGTTTGTGTATGTCCTAGAACTTGCTTCATCTATTGTTAGATATTTTGTGTTGTTTTTAATCTTTCATTATTTGTTAGTAATTCTGTAGTGACTATTATCTTTCCTTGATCTAAAAGTTCTTGGAGAGGTATTACAGAGTCTAAAACTGTACATACTTTGTACAAATTATAAAATTTCCCTCTAGGTAAGTTCTATAAGTTTGTATTCCCACTTAAAATATATAAAATTTGATGCTTACTCTTTCTAACACTGAGGCATTATAATTTCCAGAAGTTCTTAATTTGATAAAAATATTTTTGCGTGAAAGTTTCCTTTATTTTCTAATGATGTTGGATTTCTGTAGAAACTGTTATTCTGAGACTGCTTGTGTATGTCCTTTGCACATTTTTGGAAGCTACTGATCTGTTAAAAGCTCCTTATTTTTTAAGGCAATCAGCTACTAATCAAGGATATTGTTAATATTTTCCCCAGTTTTCAGTTTATATTTTAAGTTTGTTCATAATGTTCTTGATGGAGATATTTGGGTTTTCGTAGTATTTCAGTCTTTTCCTTTACCGTGTCTGCTTCTGTGTTAAACTTAGGATGTCTGCCTCCACTCCTAGATTATGTGATCATCTGTGTTTTAGGTCAGTTTTTCTATCACACACTTTAGTTCCACAAGTATTCAGTGAGTGAGTCTTAATGTGGCAGTGTTGAGTCAATAGGGAGAGAAAAAAGATAGAATCTTAAACCCCCACCCCCTTTTTTAAGAACTTAATCCTTTTTTTTAAAGATTAATTTATTTATTTGAAAAGCAGAGTTAGAGAGGGGTAGAGGCATAGGCAGAGAGAGATTTTCTGTCTTCTGGTTCACTCCCCAGATGGCCACAATGGCCAGATCTGGGCTGATCCGAAGCCAGGAGCCAGGAGCTTCTTCTGGGTCTCCCACATGGGTGTAGGGGCCTAAGGACTTGGGCCATCTTCTGCTGCTTTCTCAGGCCACAGCAGAGAGCTGGCTCAGAAATGGAGCAGCTGGGACTCAGGCACCCATGTGTGATGGCAGCACTACATGTACGCCATAGCACCAGCCCCTGAATTTTTACCTTTTTATACCTTCAGTTTACTAGAAAATAGATCTTAAGGAGGATATTATGCTAAGTGAAGTAAACTAGACACAGAAAGAGAAGTACCATGTGGTTTCACTTATAAATGGAATCTAAAAGTCAAATTCATAGAAACAGCAGAAGAGGGGTTATCATGAATTAGGGCTTGGGGCAGATAAAGGGGTGTTGGTCATAGGGTACAAGGTTTGGGTTTTAAGGTGAATAAATTCTGGAGACCTCATGTACAGGATGGTGACAATAGTTAATAATAATAATAATAATAATGTAAAGTTTACTTGAAATCTGCTCTGAGAATAGATCTTAGCACACACAAAAAAGTGCCTGTGAGGGGTTCCCTATGTTACTTAGCTCGATTATGGTAATCATTTCTTAATGTATATGCATATCAAAACATCTTACTATATACCTTAAGTATATATCATTTTCATTTGACAATTATACTTCAATAAAGCAAGCAAGAAAGAAAATAGATATTAATTTCTTTAAAATTTGCACAAATAAAATTAAAACTGTGGTGAGTATTATGAAGGAGAGGTAACTGTGATCTAAAAATGCCTAATGAGAGTGACAGGTCTGCTCAGGGAGGTCTGGAGCACTTTCCTGGGGCATGGCTGAGTTCAACCCTGAAGCAAGGTTATAGCTCAGTTATGGTAAGGTGTCACAGAGATTCCTTAAGGTGAAGCAGGATTACTTCAGGATTATGGCTGGAGAAAAGCCAGACCGTGTAAAGACTTGTAGGTCCTGTTAAGGATTTTGATCTCTTGTCATGAGAGCCGTGGGAAACCACTGATGCGATTTAAGGAAGAGATTCAGGGTAGATGACATGATGATTTCTTTAACAAAATATGTAACTCTAATCCATTTGGAGTTTATTTTCTGAGGACTACAGATTTTCTTTCTGAGTAGTTAATCATAGTTTCTTTACTTTTAAGAAAGATCTGTCTTATTCTTTTGAAAGGCAGAGTGACAGAGAAGGAGAGAAAAAAAAGATCTTTCATCTGTTGGTTCAGTTCAACTCCACAGTGGCTGGGAGTTGGGCCAGGCTGAAGCTAGGAGCTCAGAGTGCCATTCAGGTCTCCTGTGTGGGTGGCAGGGGCCCAAGCACTTGACCCATGTGCTTCTGCTTTCCTGGGTGCATTTGCAGGGAGCTAGGTGGGAAACAGAGCAGCCAGGACTCAAACCACTGCTGTGCCACAATGCTGGCCCCAGTTTCTTCATTTTACAACAAATTTTTTACTTATGCTTTTTCATTAAATTTGAAAGGCAGAGATGGAGAGAGACAGACAAGAATCAGAAATACACAGAGAGATCTTTCATCCATCAGTTTACTTCCCAAATGCCTGCAGTAGCCATGACTGCGTCAGATCAAAGCCAGGATCCCAGAACTCCATCCAGGTCTCCCACAAGGTGACAGGGACTCAACTACTTGAACCATCATCAGCTGCCTCCCAGGATATGCACTAGCATGAGGCTGGATTATAAGTAAAGTAGTCAGGACTTAAACCAGGGTCTCAGATATGGGATGCAGGATGCAGGTATCCCAAGTGGTGTCTTTTTTTTTCTTTTTTACAGGCAGAGTGGACAGTAAGAGAGAGAGAGACGGAGAGAAAGGTCTTCCTTTGCCATTGGTTCACCCTCCAATGGCTGCTGCTGATCCGAAGCCAGGAGCCAGGTGCTTCTCCTGGTCTCCCATGGGGTGCAGGGTCCAAGCACTTGGGCCATCCTCCACTGCACTCCCTGGCCACAGCAGAGAGCTGGCCTGGAAGAGGGGCAACTGGGACAGAATCCGGTGCCCCGACTGGGACTAGAACCCGGTGTGCCGGCGACACTAGGCGGAGGATTAGCCTATGTAGCCGCAGTGCCGACCGACCACGTGGTGTCTTAAGCCACTGCACCCAAAGCCGGCCCCAGTCTTTATTTTTTTATTGAAAAATTTTTTCCTTTTTTTCATTGATCTATATTGTAGTAATCATATATTACATGTAACTTTTGTCTTTTATGAAGTAAGATATTTGATAGGACTGTGTTTGAATGTTTGTGTGCCCCCAGAATCCATTATGTTGAAACCTCTCCAATGTGATTGTGTTTGAATGTAGTGCAGTTGGGAGGTGATTAGGTAATAAATATAGTACTCACTTGAATGGGATTGGTGCCCTTATGAAAGAAGCCCCAGAGACCTACCTTGACCCTTCTATCATGTGAGGCAAAATGAGATCTCACCAGACAGCCAATCCGCTTGTGTTTTGATCTTGAAGTTCACAATCTCCAGAACTGTGAGAAATGAGTTTCTGGTGTTTATGACTACCCAGTGTAAGATTATCCGAGTCACAGCACCAGTGTAAGGTCATCACAAAACACACCGAACACCGGAGTAAGGGAAAGGGTTTATTGGGGAAAACCGAGCAGACTGGTGGGGGAGGGCCGTGTGTTCAGGGACAGGTCCTTTTAAAACTTTGCTGTAGGGCAGGCAGAGAAGCAGGAGCGGAGAGGGGAGGCTAGGGAGAGAGAGCAGAGAGCGCAGAGAGAGCCATGTGTTCAGGAACAGGTGGACTTGTATGTTTTAGAGTCCCCTTTTGGTCTTTTAAACTGTAAGGCTAAGTACTGAGCACGGCCCAGAGCTAACTCTGTTTGATCGTAGTCTTTATTGGTTACAGGTCTGTTGTTAAAAGCAGGGATTGTCTGATGTCTTGTCCTAGTTATCTTTTTATGTGGGTGAGACTTTATTCCTGGATGATGTGAAAACCTTCCAGCCAACAACTGAGAGCCCACTATAGAGCCCACTGCTCATTGTCCTTGTAGGC